ATAAGATTTAAATAAAAGAAAATAGTATGGTGGAAGAATAGATTTGAATTTGAAGAGTAGGCCATTATGCCATACTCTGTCAAATGCCCGAGACACGTCAAGGAAGGCAGCTGTGCAAATAAGCTTTTTTCAAGAGTATAGGATATTTTATCCACTAGGCGATGGACTTGGTGTATTGTGGAGTGGTTATGACGAAATCCAAATGGGTATTAGGTATGCTCGCTTCTACGATAGGAAAGATACGTTTTAGGATAATTCTTTCAAATATTTTTGAAAATAGCGGAAGAAGACTAATGGGCCTATATGATTCGGGAGAGTCGGGGGGTTTGCCAGGCTTGGGGACCATAATGATGATTGAGAATTTCCATAAAGCAGGGAAGTATGCCAGTCTAAGTATAGAGTTATAGATGTGAGTTAAGAGAAGTAAAGTTTTTTGGGAAGTTGTTTTGCTACCTCAGCTGTGAAGTGTGATTAGGTCAGTGGCGACTTAACAGGATCTTATTTAGCTTTTTTCCCCGAGCTGGATAATTTATATTCTTTTAGATTTTAAAAGCTGACATTTGACAGTTACGTTGAAAACAGAAATGTCTCAAAACGATACCTATTTTTTTTTAAATTTAATTACCGCTCGTTGAATTGTTTTTTGACGATTAATACGAAAACCGATAATTATTTTTTTTTAATTAAAAATACTGATTTATAACGCAAAATAATCTCTCTCGATACTAATAAAAAATTTAATAAATTGTACTGTTATAACTTTATGAAGTATTGAGATTTGCCACGGCCAGATTACAATTTGGTAATATTATCATACGAGCGTAGCATACAACTAATAGCAAACTGTTCTCGACAGTTTAACTAGATTTCCACTTAACTGTTCAGAGATAATACACTTTCGTGCTTATGGTATAATGCAATCCTATAACTATATAGACGACTTATACAGATGTGTTTTGCCAGAAAAGTTGCAGTAGGATTCTCTTATCGGGAATTAAACATTGTAATTTGTAATCCAAATTGAGAGAAGTTCTTAATAACTATTATCACGGTGAACCATACAACAGCTACCTATTGCTTTCAAAAATGATTATCATTAAGCCATTTAGGCACGCTTAATATTCCAAACATGCTTAATAATACAGCATGTTTTCGTTGTATAAAGCACGATTTAACGGGAACAACATTTTACAGTATTTAGCATAATACATATATTGTTAATAAGTTAAATCTAGTAAATTGTCCCTACAAAAATACGACGTGTATGTATATGAGACATTCTGAGCCAAACCACGCGGTCATCAACATTTTTCGACATTTTTTTTTATTAACTTATTTTTGTCTAATATAAGACCTTAATTTTTTTGAAATTTGTATTCCTCATATTTACCCGTAGAGGGGTTTTTAAGTTATTTTTCATGAAAAATCGATTTCGACCAGTTTTAAAATTTTGAAATTTGTATCATAAAATCAGACTCAAATCTTTTTGTCTAATAACGGAATGAACCGAGATTTATTTTCATTATTTTTTTTTACAGTTATACATTTTTTTTTTTCTAAATCTGAAAAAAGAATTTATAATTTCAGTTTTTTTATTTAAAAAAATAAAACATGTCATAGTAAAATTTGATTTTTTGTATATTTTGGGAGTAAAAAGTGAAAAATATGCCTTACAAATAAAATTATAAATTAAAAAAAAAAAAAAAATGTAACATTATTATAAAAAAATTTAAATAAATCTCGGTCCATTCTCGTTATTAGATGAAAAGATTTGATTTGATCTCTGATTTTATGATTGAAATTTCAGAATTTAAAAACTGATCAAAATCGTTTTTTGTGAATAATAACGTTAAAAAAACTATTTTAGGAGTGAATTTAAATGATAGAAATTTCAAAAAAATTAAAGTTATATAAGACCAAAAAAGTTCATAAAAAAATTTCGAAAAATTTTGTAAAGGCCGGCCCGATGAACGCGTGGTTTGACTCAGAATGAACAACTTTAATGAATGGTTTAATTGATTCAAAATAACTAGCCAAGTGAACGTTTTGCCAATAAATCGATTAAGGCCAATTATTAAAAAGCTACTAAAAAACTTTTGGCCATAACATAAAATTAATCATCACCTACCTTTCGAGTACCGTGGTTACCATTGTTACAAACCAAGTGATTATTTTGGGTTAACAACGAAAAATATTTTAACATAAAAATGTATCCCGTTGTGTTGCGGACTCGTACGCAAGCTGTTAAATTATGAATATTTACATAAAACAATCTATACAACATTTAAATTATTTTGTTTATACCTACGACAAGTAAATTATTCGTATGCCGATGAATTATGGATGGGGATTTTTAAACATTTTCTTAAATTGTTCAAACTGACTTTTATCTACGTTCTTACAGCGACGGTCTGTTAAACGCCACAGTCCAGTGGTTGTATCTTTTTTATAATATGATATGCACGATTGTTTGCCAGATTTCAGATAAACAGTTTTCTTTCCATCGCTGGTTTCTATTTTTTAAGAGATGTGTTCGTGTTCGTACATAAATGAAAATGGCGTAGTTAATAATTATAGAACTTATGCACTGTGAGTTCAGAGCTCACTTAAATTTTGAATAATTACGACTTAAACATTGAATCGCAGGCAATTCTTATTACCATAGTATTAAAATTAGCCAACAAAGATTCTTAATTATTATATAATTTTTCATTATTATCTCGTTTATTGGTATAAGAAAACAGGTAAACTAATGAAAAAGTGTTTTCAATATGTACAATTTACTAGTAAAATAAAAACGGGCAACTTTGTTTGTTATCTCCTCTTATAGCATGAAACATCCAACAAGTAATGTATTTTTTTACACTTTTTAGTAGGTAGACTGTTAACCTTTTTTCCGGCTTTATCTTCGTATAATTGTCTTGACTTTCTAACTCCAAGAAAACGTTAGAACAAATGAAAAAATAATGACATTAGATTACATTATTATGTTCTCTATAAATTGCATCTTCAAAATACCTAACCCATTTTCAACATATTCTAGGTTATTACATTCGACTTCGATCGTGACATTTCGTACTTCGCGGAAAGGAAAATAAAACTGCTTATTTAAAATATATATATATATATATTTATATTGTATTTTTTATTATTATTATTGTTATTATACGACGAAAGCATAAATATAATATTGGACGTTAAATTTTATTGGTGAATATTGTGCAGTCAATAAAAATCTGATTTGTGATTTGAGCGTTGGACAATTTGTTTTTATAGTTTCTCCACTTTACCCTTCGTCTGTCGTTTGCCATACTTCATAACGAATTAGCCACACAACAAACGGCGCTTTCGCTATCTGTTCCCAAGTCGTCGCACACCGTTCCCCAAAGCCGTTTATGCGGAATGCAACGCACATACACGCCGCGATGACGGTATAGTATGCTCGGTAGGTGGCACCGACCTGATAAGCTACTCGTCTGATATTATTTTTATTGGTCTGGGCCAGGGGGTGGAGCCGCAGTAGATTTCAAAGCTGTTTTACGACCACTCTGTATACAGTCAACCTATTATAATACTGGTGGCCGTAAAAGTTTTTATTGCAAGCCCCACGCACCGCACCATTAGGTGTAGCTTGTCTGCTTACCTGAGTTTTTGTCGTTTTCGGCAATGAACGCCAGCTGAAAACGTTTCCCGCCGTTGTCTTTTGTTTCGTTTGACGGTCTTACCGTTCTAATTGGCTGTGTCTATACTTTTCATCTTTTCCAAAAAGATTATCAACCGCAAAAACCTTACACTGGCAGTGAGTATAGTGACTATATTGTGATGGGTCGGTGTTCGCTGTGTCCCTCCCCTTCTCCGACCGACCAGGCTATTAAATTGGTTTTATGTACACTGTGCGATACAGGGAAAAAGTTAAAAACTTTCCAATTCTTTTGTTTTGATAACGATTAACAACGTCCGTGGAGACGGTCCCATAATAAAACCGTTAAGGAATACCAATGAACTGCGATTTTTTCGTTTTCAGTTTACTTGTACCCAGCGCTCGTATAGTTCACGTGACATGAAGTAATGGTTATACGACTCTAACAGTATTCTTTGTGTATGTTTTTATTACCTACAACAAAAATCAAAGCCGGAAAAGAATTTTAATAATTTTTGTCGATATTTTCTACTTCATTCATAATTTATTTATGAGTTTTTTGGCCATATGAAATTTGTATTGTTATTATTATTAATTCAATATATTTTTGCATAAACCAATTGGGTTTTTTTCTGCAGTGATTTTGACAGCATATTGCTATCAATTTCAAAATATTCAATTCCATTTAAAAAAGCCAGCACCGTAGCGCCGGGACGTAAATTTGAGGATTACAGTAGGGTTATAAGCCTCGTAGGTCTTTTGGAATTTTTATAATTAAGTAATACAATTATTTTTTAAAAATGTTTCAATGAGAATTGTACGGTACGGACAAAGTCCGAAAACGGGTGAACTCTAGGTTGTGTCTAGGGTGTCTAGGCATAGTATGTTATAGTACTATAAAATGAAGGCAAATGTATTCTAAGCAGTGAAAGACGGTATCGTAGAAGGGGATTCTATACTGCTATTACGAGTTTTGTAATAAATTTTCATACAGTATCGATTTACTACAGACTCCAATTTTGCTAAGAGAGAGGGGGTTCGTAATCTGTAAAGATGCTTACACATCAAAAGCATAAATCGTACTATGCACGTACTTTTTGGGTTAAAGTTAACATTTAGGGTTTTTTTTTAGAAAGGGGCACTTTACTACACCACCTGGGTTTTTATCCCCTAAAAGCGCTCATCCGGCTAAGTAGTCAAGTGTAAACTTTGTCTAAATTTTGCACAAGCTGAAATATTGTACAAATAACGTTAATAAAATTGATATTAAGATAGTTCGCTATATCTGCTTGACCGGATCTTGATTTAGTGTAACAGACCTTTACAACATATATTTTATACAAGATGTATGTTTTTGCAGGATTGTTGGGGCGAGATGAAGCAACAAACAAAGCTACTATACTGCCAATGATAGTTAGCACTAAACAGACCAAGATAACACAAGCTTCGACGTTGATACCGTTACCGTCTTACACTGACCGGCCATCAACAACGCCAACACCTCCGGGTTCTTTGTGGCCGTCTGGAGATTGGATATTGGAGGCAGCTAAACAAATGAGAATACCCAACGACTTGGACGTGTACGATTACAACGAAGACGGTAGTGATGACGAAAACGAAGATGAAGATGATCCAATGACAACTACCACCTCTACAGCTAAGACAAAATACAGGACTCAACGCGGCCACATGTTTAGGTAAGACGTTGAGAAGTTTACTGTACAAAAGTACGTCAAAACACAAACTTCACTTGATTATAATGAAATTATTTACATCTGTAATACTTGGTTGTCAGCTGATGTAGTTATGTAGTAGTTATAGGTACATGTTACATCGAGTCAACTGAATAATTAAAACTTGCTCAATTTAAATTAGTAGATCTCCTATTCGGATAGTTATGTTGCAGTTATTGTGGGTGAATTATTTTAAATATTTTGACATTTTTTATTGTTACAACGTAAAACATTTTCTTTTATATCACTGTGGCAAGATTTTCCTTTAACATCGACAATTCTATTTCCCACATTAATTTCTTATAAATATTTCATGTAGTAACAAATTACTAGAAGAGAAATAAATTGAAAAATTGGGAATAAATAAAGAAAAATTTTAACATCGAATACAACTAGATAGTAAAGAATAGTTCTTGTTGAGTTAGACGTTACTAGATTTGTAATCTGTTTGTTCCACCCAAACAACTTACAGGATGTGTTTTAAGATTTAGATTACTCATTTACTTGATAGACGATTTTGTAACCAATCGAGTGAGTTCTCATATATACAAGTATATATCATGTTCTCATGTATATCAGGGCTATGTGTAATTTGATAGATATAAGTCCTTCCCTATAGTTTCTCTATGGTATTATACATAAAATATTTATGAATTTATTTTTGTTTAATTTATTAGGTATCAGTTTAAGCGTTTGGACGGGCATGGAGGTGACGGCCGTATTAACGGCACTTATGTAGCTGTAGTTTCATTGTCCAACGAAGATCATAAAATCGGGTTGCATCACAATATACCACAGACAAACACTGGACGCAAAATTGTAAGTTCCCATTTAATGATGAAATTTTGATGCTATTAAAGTTGCCGTTTCAGTTTGTTGAATCAATCAGTTGCCAAATCCTTTCTCTCCAAATTTTCTATCAGCCACCATTCCTCTATTCACTCCATATACCTCTTCCTATGTCTTTATTTCACCCACTTGCTCTTAGCTTAAGTATACTTCTAAATGGCTCAAGTTCTCTTGTCTTTCTCCAGAAATATTAGCTTTTACTTTACTAAAATTTGCTTATTTACCTTATTTTATACACCCCACGTTTATCAAATCATTGGTTTTGACTACAGTCCTTTGTTTTTTAATGACTAATTGTATTGCCATACTCTGATATATTTTTTTATAGGTACAAAAGTGTGCTAGTAAAAATTGTTTTATTCATTTATTATGATATTAAATAATGCAAGAATCTAAGTATTAGTTAAATAAAATCTAAATTTCTAAGTACTAACTAAAAACCGTCTTATTTTTTTAATTATTTTCCTATAAAAAATTATATATTAAAAATATATAACTTAAATTGTGCTTTAAAGTAATAATTACAATATTAGTCTATTATAATTAATTTCATACATGTCGTATTATATGACTCAGTTGCAATTAAGTTATTTAAATTGACTTGATAATGACATTTTCATTAGTGTATCATAAAACGTTAGATTCATTTTACAAATGAAGTCACACAATATTATTATTATAAAATATGTCTTTCGAACTTTCGATTATTGTAACATCCTGTGTGTTCTATTTAAACATAACTTAACCATGGCATAGTAATACTATTATTAATACTGACAACTAGAAAGTAGAATAGCAATAATCTTCTTTTATCATTTTCCGGGCATTGTGTTGATACAATTTCGCGATGTGCGAAATTCAATTTATATCAATTATCTTTTATGCGTCCAAGACATAAACATTTTAGTTAAATAATAAATAATGGTATGTTATGTACCACATAAACAAGCGATGTAAATTTATTACATAATACGATCCCTACTACATGTTTCATCTAATTATCAACATTGAGTCTTCATAATTATTATATTATGTTGTTAACCAATAAAAAAGTACAGTTAAAAATTGTGGTTATAAATATAATAACATGATCGATTTGCATCCATGAAAAAAAATGCAAATTTTGTGTTATATAACTACATTTTTTAAATTGTAAACCTAATACAATAACATCACATACGATCTATGTGACTATTGTACATATTATATTATAAATAGTTATATTACATATCATTTATTATAAACTAATAAGGTTTTCTTGAATAGTATAAATTATAATATAATTATGAAGGGTATTTGAACTGAAATTAAATTGCCCCCCCCCCCCTTAGATGGCCAACCAAAGCCACCACTGTCAACTACTGTGGCTACTGACTAAGCTAGTTGGAGAAAACCCATATTGTGTAAAATAATTACAGGCGTTAACGATCTAAGTTATTAATAAGCTATACCTAATTTTACTAGTTGTTAACGAATTCATGATTTGCGTGACTTACAATTACTGTTGTTTGACTTGTTTTAATATATATATATATATATATATATGCCCAAGGTATTTTCCTTAATTTTTGAGTGCGGTGGTAGCTTTTTCATTAATCGAAACTTTGTCCAAGTTCGACTTGGTCGTTTCGATTAAGATCTGATTAAAAAAGCTACCAGAATGAACTGAGCCGTATTGCTGTCGTTGTCACAGAGTTTTAACTTACCTTCTATGTTTTTTTTTTCATTTCCTCCGCCAAAAGTTTTCACTAAATCAACTGCGCTTTCCCTTGACAGAACACGGTGCCCTGGATGATTTACGCGCGCATCCTTCTAAACGGTATATACCACCAGTGTACAGCTGTGCGTTATTTTTCGCTGCCATCTTTCATACCTATCATTTAATAATATTATGAAGGCTTCACATTTTGTACGACAAAAGTCCATTATAACATACTCGTGTAATGTACATACTACATATTAATATATTTTTGTTTTGTGGATAATATGAATTTTTGAAATACCACGGTAACTGCGAAAGCTAACTGAAACTTCAGACTCGAATGAACCAACGGCTGTGCTAAGTATTTTTCTACACAGACATTGGTCGTGCAATCATTTCAATAACGACTTCGGTACATTTGAAAAACAGTTATAGACTCGTGTGATCCTCATTGCATCTGTTGCCACCGCCATAATAATTAAATTATTAACACAGCTATTGTTTTTGTTAATAACTCTTTACTATTGTCGAAGGTATTGATTTCCTAAATTTGAAAACTCATAATAAAGTTATCGCGTTTATTATGAAAATGAATTTCTTAAGAGAAAACATTTGAAACTTATGAATCCTAACCACTTAGTGTGTATGTAAAAATTCGATTAGTATTTATAGGTACCATACTTTAAAGTTTAAACACATACAAACTTTTCCATTATTTATTTATTAACAAATAATTATAACTATTTGTTAAAATAAAAAAGTTACCTATTAAAAATTTCAAAAGCTTATAATCAGGTACTTAATCAGTTTTGTATACTTTTAATCGCGCTATTGTTAATTTGTCATTTTGTTTTATCTCCCAATCTCTAGTATAAAACGATTTAACATGTAGACATTTACATAGAAGTTAGAAATACAACACCATTAATATATTTTAACTAAATTCTACTATTCTTAATAACTTGTCATAACATGATTGATTTAAATTTTAATGTAATATTATACCTATTGTAAATATTTTATTTTACGGCATATTTACTACCATCAAATAAAAAAAATCGTTAATATTAATAGTCATGCTGAAAACGCTAGAAGTTATCAATTATTATGTATGTCCTATTATAATAAAATGAATGTTTGAATATATTTTTTAATATAATATCATCTAGATTAGAAAATAATTGAAAAATGAAAATTATACAGGCACTTGGGAATGTTGTCGATTGCATGATTTTAAACAACTATTTCCCAGATTTGCATATTATATTATTAATATTAAATTCCTAGTATATATTTTAACCAACATACAACCGAATATTTGTTAATAATAGCTTAATTTCTATAAATAAATCATTTTAATGCGTATGAAACAATACAATTTTGAATGGATGGAATTCAAAATAATTCCATCTATGAATTTATATATATATATATATATATATATATATATATATATATATATATATACGCATTATAGCAATAGATAATATCTAATACACAAAATATATAGTATTTCAAATATTTGTTTGTAATTTGTAGCTTGTATAACCAATTACCAAAATGCATTATATATTAGATATTGCATTGTTCAATAGTTAGTCATCTTCTATAAAATATAGTTATATACATATATAACAAAGAAGAATACCTCAATATGTCATTAAAAGAAAAATACTCGTGAAATCTGTATCATTTGGGTCTAAAAGGTTTTGAGAAAAATAAATAGTACTATAAAAATGTTTTAAATACTACAAATTACAATGTAAGAAAATTAAATGTGTTTGTGGCTTATAAAAAAAGAGAATTTTTCTAGAAAATATTTCCCAATGATACACAACCAAGTGTATCAAAATTATTTTTTACTCAGCTTCGTAGGCAATGAAAAACATTAAAAAAAATGTTATAGCTGTTTTTTGTCCATCGCTCTCCGTCCAGTCTATATACAATATATAAATACATTTTTATAATTACTTATTACTTATTGTATAATATTATCATTTTCCACTTGATACTATTTATTTTACCTACAGCTGAGATTTAATGTGTCTGAAAAAATGTTTTATTTGCAGGTTAAACAGGAAAAATCAAACCCCGCAGAGTAATATTCAAATGTCAACTAAAAGACGGGTCACTCGTTACCATCGAACACGCCTAACGGAAAAACAATTATAATTGTAGTTTCCAAATTTTACATAAGAAATAAAACCATTATGATTTATAGTTTACATATTTTAAACTTAAATAAAAAATATTATAAACAAATTTTACTTTTCTTAGTTCGTACTTATATTAATTAAGTTTAGTTTTTTTTTGTTACTCAATATTTAGTCAAAAAAGTTTTTGTTTTTTTAATTATACGTGCCTACTATTATTTTTCAGACAACAATAGCATTATAATTTAGAACATTATTTAATATATTGTATACCGAAGTATTTTATGTTATTAATAAGTTCATTATAATAATATAGTTGTACAAACTAAAAATATTTGTGTTCATTTTACGTAAAATGTATATTAAAAGTAATCTTTCATAGTACTTTATTATGCAAGTATTGATAGCGTTATAACTTATACATTTAACAGTCAATAACTTGATTGTAAATCAATAACATACATGTATAGTATATAAATTCTACACACGCATGCATATATCAATAAATAGCCAGACATTAATATCTTACATAAAAAATATACATTTTTAAATATTTAATATAAAGACATTTTTAGAAAATTGTAAATTTTAACTTGAATAAAATTTGAATTTAAAGCAAATTTAAATTGACGTATTTTATTTAACTAGAGATGAATTTCCAGAGACCGTATTATAGAAAATATGATACTTCAAATGAAAAAATATTTATTTTGTTAAACTATAAAAATAATGCCTGATGTTTAAGTTAAAAATATTTTTGCTAAGGGTAATTTTAGAGCGTACTTCTTAAATGTCTTTTAGCAACTTTAAATTAAATTTACCTATGAAAAGCCGAATGATATAATAAAAATACTAATTGGTCGATATCCAGTTTTGAATAATTATTTCTTAAGTTGTATGTATTGATGAGGAGTATGAGGGTGAGTAGTTATTTCTATCAGCTTATATCACACTTAAATTCTCGTCTATATATATTTATGTGTAAATAAGTTAAGGCACATAAAAATTTACTAAAAACTGGCTATCTACCAATCAATGTTGTTTTTATCAGTTAGTTGCTATAGAATATTAAAAGTTGCTCTCTAAAACTACTTTTAAAAACATATTTTGAACTTGAACCTTATTAGCTATTCTTATTCATTTATTATAATGCAATTTTGATTTTTTTTATCTTAATAACTATTTTATCGAAAATAGGTTATAAGTCCTACAATGAGTAATTATTATTAATGTAATTAATAGTAATAATAATTACTATTATTATAATAGTAATTATTTGTTGAACTTGGTCAGTGTTTTGCTAAGATACACAAAGCAAGAGCGAGTTAGGTGTCCGCATCCAATTGTTACTTTACCCTATGATAATAATTTAACTAATACTTTTAAGATAATTCCTTAACTTCTTTGACCAGAAAATAAATATTTTGATATATTTGAAAGGAGTTAGCTATTCCAGCTGTTCTAAAATATTGTTTCTAAATAATAACTATTAGTTATTACTTTTAAACTCAATTTATATTTATTTAATTTTATAGTACAGTAGTAATAATTTGGGTCCTCTTCGCCAATTTTTTACTTTACCAACCATTTATACAAATTTTAGTTTAACCTAACCTAACATACAAGACCGTATTGTATAGTACAGAAAGTCCTTTATCAACATTTTACTAAATAAGAAGTGGGAGAATAAATGATTTTATATAAAGCCACTTTTCAATTAAAACATTGTCATTTTAGTAGAATAAATTGTGTGTATACAATGAAATTAAAATAGTGTAATAATAGGACCTCCTATACTATACAATACGATCTTGTATGTCTTGTTAGGTTAAACTAAATATTGTTTAAAATGTTGGTGAAATAAAAAACGGGCGGAGAGGACCCAAATTATTACTACTTAGTACATATCTATAATTTATAATCGTTAAAATAAAGATTTTTTGGTATATTGTGTTCAGCATAAGTGTTATACAGAACTAGGTCGCAAACTGTAACCAAGAAAAGGGCAACATATGCTAGAATCTATTTTGTATTTTAAATATAAATAGTCTAAGGTAACTGTTATTTGTTATTAAGCATGTATGAACGCGAAGTGTGCTAATGTGTGTTTATATTATTTAATGTGTATTTGTATTACAGTCTTATAGTAGTAAAATACTCAAAAACAAAGACATGATTTGCCAAAAACAAAAAGTTCGATTTTTGATAGTACTCTAGCCATTGATCCTTGTTTGTTTTGATGTTTTATTTAAAAAAAATGTCCATCACCTTAACAATGCAACATATTAAACGTTATTTTATTAAATCTTTTGTCGCGGTGTTCAAGAATAATTTTTTTAATAAAATATCATATAATATTATGATTATTAGTCATGCTTAGAATAAAATGCAATAGTTTTTTAAATAATTGCATGAGCACTTGTTGAAAAAAGTATCACAATTTGCGTTTTAAGTTTGACTTCCAAACTAAATATCATAAGCAGCTCGAATTATCGTTCAGCACTATATTTGTAATCAACAGTTAAAAACAACTATACACAAACAGTTTGCATTTAGAAATATAATATTATAATAATAAAGTGTAAGAAAAATATATTGAACATAAATTATTGGTAATTTAGTAATTATGACATTTCAGTTCAAATATTAATTACACATAAATAAAATTACCTATTATAGTAAATGTGTAAGGTATATAGGCAATTAATAAAGTTTATCAATAATTTAGGAAAAATTATCATAACTGCTAACGCTTCGACACGGTAACATAAAGTATTTAATAGACGCTAAATATGTTTACTATCTTGTTTCCTTTTTGAGGAACAAAAATATATGACAACAGATTATTGTTTCTGTTTGTTTTTACTTTTAGTATCTAGCATTAGTCTAAATTTTAGTCCATAAGCTCTTAAACTACCTCTGGAAAGGTTTTAACCCATTCTGGTTGATAGGGCTAATTTGGTTCCTTAGTTTTGGACATTCTATCGATAACACTGTTTATCCAAGGAATACCCCATATATTTAAATTTAAAAGTGATTTATCAATTTTTATCTTGCATTATTCGTAGGATGTTTTATCTCTAATTTGATTGGAGAAGCGTGATTTTTTTTTAAATTTTGGCTTTATGAATTATATTTTTTATTAGCACAGGAAAGTCGAGTAGGAAATGGTAGCTGGAAATTCCAAGTAAAGGACATTCAACATATGTGAGATAGCCCTACACGCTACTAATTTGATAATTACCGAAGATAATAGGAATTTGTTATTACTTATTTCCGGCGCTTATAAATATTTCGTGTACAATTTTTAATTTATAAACACATAAAACATTTGGTGCAATGGTAAAAAAGTTATCATAAGTTTAGGAAAAAATGAAGACATTAATTTGCTGGTAAATTATATTTTTAAATCCCTACCCACTTTTAAAACTTAAATAGTAACGCATTTACTTTATTAAACATAGAATATGCCACTTATAACTTTGACTGATCAATTATTTGGAAATTTTCTAATATTGTAAAATAGTCCATGAAAATATTTTTTATAAAAAGAAAAACTACAAAACTAAAATTATTTTTGAAAAATAACATATCGCATAGTAGCTACGTTAAATTAATCATCCATTCCTGTATGGTTAAATTATTAAATATTAACTAAATTACAATGAGGAAGTTTCAAATTTGACTTATCGATAAGGGTTCTAACTTCGAGGTACTTTTAATTTAATTTTCTAGGTAAACTTTGGTTTTTAATGAATAAACCACCCAAAACAGATGTTCATCATTTTTTTCAAAAAGAGCTCACGCGATTGTTTTAAAAACCATTAAAATTTGTTCTTACAATGCCTGATACATTTTTTTTAGAAATAGTAGCTTTGAAATCTTGCTTCTTGAACACTATGTAGTTTAAATAGGTACTGTAAACTTGAATTTAGTGAAAAATATTGTTCTATATAGTATCAAAGTAAATAGAGTATCTACTCGTATAGTTGTTTTCTTTTTTTTTTAATAAGTAATAGCTCTATAAGCTTTAATCTAATGTTCTACCTACTAAAATTTAAAAACTAAACAAAAATAATGACTAATTAGTAATTATGAAAAAACAAGTTATTATAAAAAGTAACGGGTGATTCTTTTAACGCTCTACACTAATTAACACTCAAAATAATTGCAATTTTGTAATTTGTGCTGATGTTATTTTACAATATTATATTAAACGATATTCAAGTTTTTATCTTTTTTACTATTTTCCAAAGCTTTATCAACTTTTAAAACTTCAATGATAACATATATATTTAATTGAATTTTTAAATTAAGAATAATTTACTGAAAAAATTCAATGGTCGATAACCAATTTTGAATAATTATTTTTATTATTAAGTTTAAAAAAATGTCATACGGGATCATTTCAAGAGAAAACTCGTGTTGAGCGTTAAAAGAACCACTCGGTATAATGTGGGTAATTCTTGGCTTTTAGTGGGCCTACCGAATTTTATTACAAATCCTATACATACATTATAGTTCGTTACTAAATCGGTGTTAGCCTTTTTTTTTCGGTGAAACATTTATTTCAACCTATCATTGTATATATTTTATAGCTTGAATTTTGAAATAGAACGCTGTAGATATTTTTTTTTGGTCGAATAATAAAAAACACGGCAACAATACCATACGACTAACGATAAACACAATATAGGTAATATAAAAAACACAACAGTAAAATAAATAATTCGTTTGAATACGTCAGAGTTATTTAATGGTGAAAAAGTCGCCAAATTCAGTGTACTTGTACATAATATTTCTGATTCCCATCAAGGTTCTTTAGTATTTTAACGAATCCTATAGTTATAATATTGTTAAAAAATCTACTGCTCCATTTTATAGCTATTTACAACAGTCAAACATTGGCATTACTTATTATTATATTATAAATCATTATTATACAGGGTGACCAATTTAGCACTCACTGTGAAAAAAATGTATTAATGTTATTTTACAATACTATAAAATCACTAAGTATTTACCTTTTTTAGTATTTTCTAGAGCTCTATCAACTTTTGAAACTTAAATGGTAAAATACATATATTTTATTTGATTTTTAAATTAAGAATACTTTGCTGAAAACGTTAACTGGTCGATAATCAGTCTTGGACAATTACTCTTGAAGTTATTAAAGTTTACCATTTGGAACGAGAGGAAAGGTAGAGTATACTTATTATTTTTATCTGTACGCATTGCTCAGCCGCACTCTCCTTCTGTCTTTAATTTTAAACTTGATAATTGATTATTCAAAAATTGTTGTAGACCGGTCAGAAGTTTCAGCAAAGTATTTAAAATTTAAAAAGTTAATAAAATATATAAGTTACCATTTGAGTTATAACAGTTGATATAGCTCTGGAAAAATAAATGAAAAAGATGCATACTTGTCTAATATTGTAAAACAACATTGACTAAAGTGCTCCAAAAAGAAAATCTACAAAACTGCAAATATTTTTAAAAGAAAACGGGTGTCTTTCGTTAATTTGATCACCCTGTATAATTGGTATATATGTTATACGGACTAGTATGTATTTTATAATGTTTGTTTTTCGAAGAATCTTATTTTGTAATCGTCGCATTATTAATTATTATCTTGACACAAGATCTTCCGGTGATCGAACGGCCTTTGTAAAGTTATGGTTGGCTACAATCCAAAAACAACGAATATGACCGCATGGATCATGAAAATACTACACACGGTTGCCGACCCTTTTAGATGCAAGCAAACACACAGTTTCACGCCAAGTTTACATTGTTTTTGTGCAATGGCGGTGAAATAACCCGAAAAAAGGTGTTGGCTTGTTCGTTGATAACATTACAGTGTACTAGATTCTCACCACTACAAAACGAACCTCGACTTCATTCACAAATGTTTAATAAAAATCAACGGATATAACATTATAAAATAACTCAACATTTTATGTAAAACGAAGCCAGTGCACCGAGACCCAAAGACCAAAATCGTCAACGTCTATCCTAGCTTTTAATAAATATAAACGACTTATACAATCTACACACAAACAGAAATGTATGATATTCCATCGTAAATTGTTTCAGAAACACAAACGCGATCCCTGTCGCCTTTTTTGAGATCTTCAGACTTCATTGTGGAATTTAATAAAAAAAAAGAAGCCCAATGTTCCTTCGGAAGAAAATCATCAAAATATTTCTAATATAAATTTATAATTGCGTGATTAGGTAAGTTATTGTTTTCTAAGTTTGGTTATGTGGGTAAAAAACAATTTCGTTAGAATTTATAAAAAAAACTATTCTACAGGTTTTGAAAAAATATTTGCATATGTTTAGCTTATATAGCTTATCATTACAAAAAATAAAAATACAATAATGTATAGCTTTTAGTAAAGTACGTATTAAAAATAATAATTTGCAATTTTTAAATATTCCTACTTGGAGATTATGTTTTGAGCATCAGAACTTTTAAATCTTTTTTTTTCCAGAAACATTGTTTTTATCACAAACAACGTAAAAATCTTTAATATTCATAGAAATAACACACTATTTATTAAATGACTAAATAAAAAATTGAAAAGTAGATCCTTAATGAGGCCAAATATTGAATATGTGCTTTCCTCTCTTTCAAAATTAAGTAAAAGCCTTAAAAAAATTAACATACTTTTTAATTTAAAAATACGAGACGTTATACATTTCTGGGTAGGAGTATAATTAAATCCAGACTGTTTAAGGTACCTATTCTTATATAATTATTTTTTTTTTACATATAAAGTGGGTATTACAGAAATAAAAAAGCTACTTAAATCACTCAATATTTTTTTAGTGGAATATTATATCATAGTAGACGTATAAGTCGTATGAAAAACTGAAAAAAGCAAATTATTTTAATATGATTAAGACCGTTTTTAAAATGAGGTTACGCTTAAAAAGTGTGTGTTTTTACATATTTTTTTTGTTTGAAAAATCGTATATTATAGGTAAACGGTTATTTTACGTTCGAGGTTTACTAAATAACAATTTGTTACAAACATTTTATAACCATTATTATTATAAAATATTACCTCAAAACGCGTAGGTATACACTATTTAAACAGTTGTAATTGTAAGGTAGCATTTTTTTTATTTGTTTTGATCGAAAACAACAAATAGATTTGCCTCTTGTCTTCTTCCTGTGTCGTTGGATACCCGATACTTAAATTGTACATCTCTTGCATACGTCTTGCTTTTCACGCTTAGTTTGTATCGATCACTATACCGAGCTTCTAATATTTGTATTTGTATTTGTTTTCATTCAACATACCTGTGTATTAATTCAATCATGGACGGTGAAAGAGCAGACATCGGCGGTAAGACAAACGAGTGTAATAACGTTTTTAAAATATTACAGAACCTACGATGATTGTTTTATTTGTATTTTCCACTTAGAACATTTTAAAATAAAAAAAGAAACGGACCAAGACGAAACACACCAAACAATATTCAAGTAAGAATATACATTTTTATGTTTTAAATAAATATAAAACTATTTTATATTATATGGTTTATATCTTATAATGCATATTACATAATAGAACATACAAATTTATAATAGGGGCACGCATAATAGAACACAAATAGTCGATGGTAAAATATAATTTTACTTAAGATAAAATTTTAGAAATATTTATAACTGATTTAAATATTACCACTGGAACGATTTAAAATTGTTTGGTCCAGTAAAAAATATGTGTTAGTAAGTGGTTGCACAGCAAAAAATATAATATTAGAATACTATGAGATTTTTTATTGTCAAAATATACTACTTATAGGTTGCCCAGATTCCAGAATAGAATAAATTACTAAAAAAATTATTAGTAGAATTATTAATTATTAATTAATAGATAGTTAAATAGATTAGGTAAATATAATAGATTTTGTCTATTCTGTGTAAAAAATATTGTTTGATATTGTTAGGTATACATAATATACTAATTAGGTACTTAGGTTTTATATACTAACTATTTAAATTTTATAAATATGTTATAAGTGTAAAATATGCAAATAAATATAAATTTATTAAACCATAGGCAGAGATTTCATTAATTTTTTTTTGGGGGGGCTAGCATTTTTCTACCTAAAATGACCCGCAAGGGATTTACACTCCTAAATTATTAATATATAATACTATATAACATTACAAATGTATAAATAAAAATCATAATAATTATAATATAATATTTGTATATTATTTAAGTAAATACATATTATTTTAAGGCAATGTACCTATTCTTAGATCCAAATATATCAATTATTTTTTCCACATCAATATTTAAATCGTTTTTAATGTACAATATGGATGAATTATTAAACCTATCTTGCAACATACTAGTACGTAACCATGTCTTAATTTTGCGCATAGCTGAAAAGCTGCGTTCCCATATAGCTGAACTAATTGGCGAAGACAAGGCGACTTGAAATAATTTGAATAAGCTGGGAAATACATTTTGGGTTAGAGCCTTTTGAATTTTATCTATATTTATTGTTTTCTGAAAAATGTATTACTTTATTTAGTACTTGAATTAAAATTAAATGATAACATTATCAAAAACATTGTTATAATGTTTTGCCGTTTTGGAACTGAAATAGATTTCATAATTTATTCTTTTTAATAATTTTAATTTTTACTCCTTTAATTAAGGAATTTATTACTTTGATGAGTGATCAAATAATTGGGGGGGCTATTGATAATTTTGGGGGTGCTAAGCCCCCCCCCCCCCCCCCCCCAATCTCCGCTTATGTATTAAACTCGTATAAATATCAGAGCATTATAATTGGATTGATTAAAAATACCTCAAGTAATGATTGATAATAATACTGTACTTAAATGTATTATATTAATCTAATAGTCATTGAGGTATTAGCTTTCATTTTTCCGTGTTTTGACATTGCCCTGTTGAATTTTGTCTAAAATTATTGATATTCAAATTTAAGATCAACTCTGATTTTTAATTTTTTTTTTAACTATTTAGAGTTGTCCATTTTACATAAAAATATTGTGTTTTTTAACTGGGTTTCAAATCAATAGGGTTGAAGGATGTTTAATCTCACTACGGTAATTCAAACGATTAGACGCAATGCCATTTTCAATACGTATATTATCGACATAATATCAATTTTTTAATAATAACTACTAATTAATTAAACATAATAATATTTACAATAAATAAGCACTTGTTATTCTATTATAAAATAGTTATTGAATATTATATTATTTATAAGGAGATTATTCAACTTGGATATTTTTATTGTAATTAATATTGACTTAGACATTTTTTATTTTGAATTCATTTTTGACGGATATCCATGCAGATTTTTTTCGGATATTATTACAGAGATTTATTTTTTTACCGATTTCAAAAAATCCAACAGTAACCTTAAATATTATGTTCATAATATAAACTATTGTATCATTATTTTTACTGCAGTTGTAACAGCCCAAAGGTGCAAACGTGCCCAGAATACAAATATAGGGTAGGGTCATATAATAAATAATTAAATTTGAAATATTAGACAAAGTTACATTTTTGTGGAATTTGTTAATATTTTTGTAGAGAGTAAAATTATTGTGTTATTTGTAAGAGATTTATGGTTATTACCAATATTGTTTTGAGTTTTTATAGATCAAGAAATACTGTTGATATAATGTTTACTGTATGCAGTTCAATTTGTCTATTACACCACAGTATGGTGTTATGTATTGTATGTTTCGGATAATTATTAATATAACTACTTGTTAGGTATCCCGCATCTGTGTAGTATGTATAATTTAAACCTTTGCCTGGCGTCGATTAGCTCAGTCAGCGATGGTCTGTACCGTGTTTTATGGTAGATTGCTATTCAAAATAATTGTTTTTAAAACATAAAAGCAACAACAGCTGATAACTTATGAACACATGACCCTTTCGAGCTTTCCTTATCCTTCGCCAATGTCATATCAACCCATGACCATACTGTGATTGGATGGAAGGTGGACGTCCAAAAGAGCATTTTTGTGGTTGAAAAAAAAATTACCATACAATATAACTTCCATATTATATAGTTAAAGATCCATGTAAATATTTTCTATCGTTCTATCTCTCTTATTACATTTCACTTAAGCTATATTTGTCCTTCAGACTTTCATGAGTTATACGTCCATGGTACCTTGGGTCTAAGAAAGGCAATGGACCTTTGTTAATTTTTAATAAAAGTTAGATGAATTATTTTTCGTTATTATTTCAGCTATGACGCTTGTGCCGGAATCATAGTGAAAATCGAAACCGACGTTGTGGACGGTTATTTGTTCGAAAGCGTCATTGAAACAGAAACGGCGGACTACCAGAACGGCGTCGGTGTCGTTAATATCGTAGGGAAGAATTTACGGTGGCCGGACTCGTTCGAACTAGTGCGTAAGACTGTGGACAAAGTGGGCGACCACGGAGACACATCGAATACGTTCGAATGCCATTCGTGCCATAAGTCGTACACGGATAAGAACAAGTTCATACGTCACGTGAAATCGCATAACCCGGCCAAAAAGTACAAGTGCGAGGACTGTCCCAAGTACTTCCCGTTCCCGTCCAGGCTGAAAACGCACCAGATCGTGCATACCAAGACTAGACTGTTCGAGTGTGCCACGTGCAAGCGGTCGTACACCACACCGTTTATACTCAAAGAGCATGCACGGATTCATACGGGCGAAAGGCCTTACAACTGTATGGTCTGTTACAAGCGCTTCACTCGGAACGCGCTGCTCAAGAAGCACGAGCGAGTGCACACGGGTGAGAAACCGTACAGGTGCAACGTGTGCTCCAAGTGTTTCTCACAGTCACAACATCTGAAGAAGCACGAGCGAGTGCACACGGGCGAAAAGCCGTACGAATGCAAAGTGTGCCTCAAGTGTTTCTCGCGCAATGAACACCTGAAGAAACACATGAGAGTACACACAGGTGAAAAACCTTACAGGTGCGACGTGTGCTCCAAGTGCTTCTCGCAAAATGTCAACCTCAAAAAACACAAGGCTATCCACACCGGTATGAAGATGCACAAATGTTCTGTGTGTTCCAAATCATTCGTCGAAAACGGCGACCTCAAGAAACACGAACGGGTCCACACCGGCGAGAAGCCGTACAAGTGCGACCTGTGCAACAAGTGTTTCTCGCAAAGGCAACACCTGAAAAAACACAGACGCGTTCATACCGGAGAAAAACCGTACGAGTGCAGTGTGTGCCTGAAACGTTTCACCCAGAGTGAACACCTCAAGCAGCATGACCGAGTGCACACTGGAGATAAACCGTATAATTGTCAACTGTGTGTCAAGTCGTTCTCAACGTCGGGAGGTCTACGAAGCCACGAGAAGACACATTTAAAAAAAATACAATTGCGATTGGGTTGCCCAATAATAAAACTACCTAAAGCCAAGCTGCCCGAAATCGAGTTTCCTAAAATTGAGACACTCAAATCAGAGTTTTTTGAAACCACTTTGCCCGATAAAATATATTAAACAAATTAAAATAATACAGCTCTATATATTGTTGTACTAATGTCTGGTTTTGTATAGAAATATATTATGTTTGTTTAATTTGTGTCATGACAATTCATAAATTATCAATTTGCTTTAATTAAAAACTAAAACATTTGTTTACAATAAGTAATTTTTAATTTATAATTTTGTGTTTATACTAATTTAATAGTAGCTGGCAACTAGAAATATTATCATTCCAAATTAATAAAGTCGTGTTTCTTTTAAAATAAAAATAGCCAATTATTTTATTTTAATAATTACAGTTACCTAAATTTACCCCCTTGATGGAAGTTAACCCAATTCCTTCTATTTTACTATTTTTTCTTCACCAATTATTGGAAGTTTGTTATTTCTTAACCTCCACTCGGGCATGTTAGTAAACCATACTTTTATTTTTGTGGCACCAATGGTGTAAATAGAGCTCTTAGGGACGGGATGTAAATATTAAATATGATGTTTTCTATAGGTAGGTATTTTTTATATTAATATGCGTACATATATTGAAACTAAAAAGGCTAATTACACTTTTGAGAAAAGAACTTGAACATTTTTAATTGACAAGCCAAAAGTGACCAAATACCAAATAGTTATAATAGCTGCCATATAATGTGGTAATCTATAGAATATGATATAAGATAATGATAATTTGAAATTTGAAAAGAATACTTCAATAATATATTAATAGAAAATGGATTTATTTATTTATTATTTTATTCAAGGGTTTTATAAACGTTTTGGATCGAAAACCGGTTTTTAATTTTTTTATTTATTGCAAACAAAATTAATATTTTTAGTATACAATAATATAGTCTAATGAGTTATTTAAAAAAATAGAACTTAAAAATATATAAGTTTCCCTTGGAGATATTACAAATGTCAAGTCTTCGTGGAATACCTTTTATACGTCTATCTATTTTACTTTATAAATAAATTAATTGTAAGTCTCGTTAATAAAATAACTCTATAATATTTTTTGATATTTACATCAATCACATTTCTTATAGCATCCGAAAAAGGATGCTCACTGTCAATTTGTTTTTAAAAAATAATGCAATCTAACTAATCTATTCGTTGTAGCTATGCTTCATATTAATACTAATTAGTTATTACTTAGCATCTGATACACCTAATTATAGTTTATACCTACTATCACATCAATAAATTGCATATCCCCGATGAGTTATGACTGCCTATGACATAAATTATAAACGATTGGTACCCACTCGTAAATTCTCATATACCTAACTAATATTGTAGGCAATGATTATTTTTTAAACGGCAGATAACGTTGACCGAAAACGTAATAAAATATGTAAGATAAATAAAGTATGTAATATAGTTGATAACAAAATATAAATTTAATATTTTTTGGATATTCAAACACTTAACACAATTATAATGTTCTTTAAAGTGTAATAAAAACTAACAAAAAAATGACAAAATATGACAATAACAAAAACATTTTAAAATCATTAATTTGTTACTTACAACCAGATGCTATAACCTTAACGAATTTGCAGTTAACTTAAGAGTCAAGAAACTGAGTCATTATCAACCTTTTAATACAAGAAAAATGAAAGCTTTTTACTTTTTTGAGACATATATTTTTGATTGAAAATTAACAAATGAGGTCAGAATATAGATCTAATAGGTATCCTACTAATAGCAAAGTCATGTTTTTAGAGAATTATTGAGGAAAAAACTAATTAATATTATTATTAATTATCACTACAGCAATTTTTTAAAACAAATCTAATGTTGAAATCGATGTATAGTAGAACGTAGAATATATTATATAAGTAGAATTACAGGGTTGTCCTTTTCATGTTAAATATTTTCTGTATAAAAACCTAATTTAAGGTAGTGCATAGGTGTTTACAGAGCGATTAAGAACATTTTACAGGAACAACAGGATGATTGGACATTTATAGTTTATCAATCCTTGCTATATAATTACATTTTTACAAATTAAAGAATATTATAGAGTTTATCAAGTGTTTATTATGTTTTAACAATCTGATTACAGGGATTAAAAAAAATAATGTTCTCTAAACTCATTTCAAATGGAGGCTACAGCGTCTTAATATAGACTGTATTGTCATTTTTTTTTTATTATTTACAAATATTGTACATAAATTTAGATAGATGTTTGAAATTTAGGTACTAAGTGTATTTTGTTCACAAACAACTCAAATAATTGTTTTTTAATAGGAAATACATGAATTATTTACTTGAATGTTATTAAAATTAACATCAACGTGACAAATATTTTTATAACGTATCAACCTAAGAAGATTGTTTTGAGATATCTAAAATAAACTGCACCAATGCTCTTGTAGGTTGACCAGACATTCCACTGCTTATATATGAGCTGTCTTGGCCATTAGACTTCATAACACCGGCTATATCCATATGAACCCAATCTCCTGGCGGTGCAAATTCCTATCAACAGTATTTTCGAACGTCGTATTACACACATCAATAAAGTAAATAAGTAGTAAAATATTACTTTTAAAAATGCGGCAGCTGTACACGCACCGCCTCCTTTTCCCTTGCCGATATTGTCCAGATCAAATCCCGAATAACCTTTTATTGACAACATTAAATAAGAAAAGTTTAATGTTTTTTGTTCATAAATATTAATAGTATTAACACTAAGTTAATTGTATACCTGACAATAAAGCAGAATAATAATTCCACAGTGGAAATCTCCACATCCTATCACCAGTATAGTTGCCAGCGCACTGTACATCGTTCCATATCTTGTCTGCCGTACTAAACACTCCTGTCGCAGCACCGCCAATAGCGACCATCATCGCGCCTGTATAAAAAAAATTTGTTTATATTAATATAATGGTAACTTTTTGTCACATGGTTAAACATTTAGTTCTACACAAGTTAAACAAAATGTATTTTTTTACCTGTAAGAGTAGCTAGATCCAAAGTTAACTTGGGATTAAACGTTGCAGCATAGCACAGTGCATCAGCGAGAATGAGTCTGCCTTCAGCATCTGTGTTGTCCACTTGAATAGATTTACCGTTCATGGCGACAATGACGTCGCCAGGTTTCAACGCACTACTGCTTGGCATATTTTCACACAACGGAGTCAAACCTACATCGATAAAATACATTTTACACAAATCAAATTAAATCTAACAAGTTGCTTAAATTATATTTACCGACAACATTAACAGGAATTTGCAGTTCAGCAATGGCCGATATAGCGGAAACTACATTAGCAGCTCCCATCATGTCAGCTCGCATTTCACCCATTGCCGACGACGGCTTGATAGAAATGCCTCCACTGTCAAAAGTTACTCCTTTGCCTATTAAATAATATTATTGTTTTTCTGCTATAATAGTTTATGTACTGTAACAGATATACCCACTAACCGACTAATACAATTGGTTTATCATCTTTACTTCCTCCGGAATAAGTCATTTCTAAAAACGCCAAAGGTTGGCAGCTGCCTTTGGCGACGTTCAGCAAACCTCCCATTTTTTTTTCTTCGGCCCAACATTTGTCGTGTACTACCACTTGAACATTCTGGTTTCCGAGTACTTCTTCTACTTCCTGCAGTTTTAAGAAAATGCAACAGAGTAATTATAAATAGATAACAAGACTTTTGCAATAAGTTTTCATTCAGATAATAATTCAAGCAAAGCCTTTACTTTTGAAAATAATGTCGGAGTCATATGATTAGCGGCAGACTCTGTTAGTTTTCTAGACCAATTCTGGGCATTGGATTTAACAACACCACGAGACCACTCGTCCCTAATTTTAACAATACAAAAATTAAATTAATTATTAAGTAAATTTAGTTCATAATAACATTTTTTCTAAGTAAATGAAATACATATTATGGCGGTATAATGCCTAATGTATTTCTTTATTAGGTAATTTTACATTATTATGTAATAATTTTACATTTAATGTACAACACAATAGCTTGTTTTGGACACATAATTTATTAGTTAGTAATGAAAATTGATAAATGAGCACCAGTAGAGAGTAGGCTCCTCTAATAGTGCTGAAGTTAGATTTTAATTTGTAACATGCTTTTAAAATAGTAGTAGTGTGTTAAAACATTTTATGTAAAAAATTAAAATACCGCTCTTATATCATAATGTCAATAATAAAATACTCACTTGTCGGAATTTTCAAACAAAGATATTTTCGGAGAGGGTTTCTGCTCTTTTTTGTACTCTTGAAAATTCCATGTACCCAACATGGCACCTTCCGCAGCACTCTCTGAATCACCCATTGAGGATAAATCTATGTCTTCCATCCCACAATCAATGAGACTACGACAGCCAACTTAAAAAAATAAAAAATATACTCGACAAATTAAAACATGACTAACAAAATCAATAGCTGTTGTAGGTAACAATTTTTTTTTTTTTAATTTTACTTGCAGCTGCATTTCGAACATTTTGTTTTTTAGGGTCTACTCCATCGGAAAAGTCTTTTTCATCCAATTCTTCTTTACCGATTCCAACAAGCGCAATAGTTCCGTACTTTTCATTTGCATTATAAAAAACTCTGGACTTGCCCTTTTTCAGAAAACCATTCCCACTATAAAACATTGCATCCGAGTTGGTATTTCACTTTAAATTAAACTCACACATCTCATCACTAATATAAAATGAACATTTTGGTTAAGGACAAAGAGACGAGAAAAGAAAATAAACAAATTGCAAGTTAATAAAAAAAAATTATTTCCAATTATTTGCTTTATTTTTTATTCCTTTGTAACTGGGTGTTTATTTTTTAAACAATTATAAAATTTAAAACTTTTTAAAATTACTAACGGTTATAATAAAAAAAATACTATAAATAGGACATAGTAAACATTTTCAGTAGTTTGGAAGCACACAATATTTGTAACATGATTTAATTTTTAGCTAATTATAAATATATGTATACATACATATATATAAAAAAAAAATACAACACAATAACATTACAATACACACTATTAGTCACTAGTGTAAAAATAATTAACACAAATATCACACCATTCCAGGACATATTGCATACAGAGGAAATTACATTTTTTTAACTACAAGATAATAGCAATAATAAAAAAATTTAACTTATAATGAATATTTACAAATATAATAATACATACAACATTTTTTTTGTTATATAAGTTCAAGTACTTTAATGATTCCTTGACTATTAGCAGCCATAATTATGTTGGAAGTTTGTCGCCAGCACACAGCTGAAACAAATTCATTTACATCATCGTCTTTACGTCTCTCTTTTTCTTCTTCGGCTGCATTTGATAATATTGATGTAGTTGGTTCAAACTTAAATGTAAACAGTCTCTTTTGCAATCCTTTATAGTACACATATAGTGAGTTATTTTCGGAGCCACATGCAATGTAGTCGCCATCTGTGGCTAAACCAACAAAGTTTTTCTCATTAGTATGACCTACAAACGATCGGAGGCAACCCTCTGCAGCATCGTCAACGTTCCAAAGTTTTAATTGACTATCAGTCGAAGCAGAAACCATCTCTTTACTATTTAGGAACTTGACATATGATACAGCTTTTTTGTGGCCTTTGAATATGGCCAATGCACGTTTTGCATGCCGTAAATCGTAATAATGGACGCAATGGTCGGCAGAACCAAATGCTAAATGCGAAGAGCTTTCTGGATTAAACTTTACACAGCAAACATTTGCTTTTGCTTCAAGACAAGCTACAGAACGATCTTGGTTGAGTGTCCACAATTTGACTCGTGCATCATCTGATCCAGAAGCCATGAGTCCAGCGTCTGCTTTGTTAAAGTCAACACTCCAACAGCGTTTTTCGTGTTCCCTAAAGACTCTCGTACGTTGGCCGGTACCTGCATCCCATACAGACACAGCGCCTTCATAATCACTACTTGCAATAGTATTTTTTCTATACGAATTCCAACTAATGCAAGATATTTTTGATGCGGACACCATCTCTACGCAAGGATAATGAATATCAACAGTATCACGTACGACACTTTCGTAATCAAACACCTTAATACGTTTGGTGACGCCTGCTATAGCAAAATATTCGTCGTCTTTGTCAAATTCAATACTTGATACTATTGTTGAGTTATTAAACATGTCAGTACCATAATTTAATGTAGCGACAGGCCTTAATGAGTTGTAACGAGAAAATTTGACTAAGTTTTCACGAAATGCGTCCAAGCTAGTATCTGAACATTTATCTCCAATATTATCATCTTCTGGGTCTGCCATTGTTGGACCAAATACTAGTTCTTTTGCTCTCAGAGCAAAATAACATTCAACAAAATCTTCAAAATGCGTGCACATTCGACGACGCTGGATATTACCACAGCCACTATAATTAGTACTACTACTGGCGCAGGCCACACTCGGAGGAGAGCCATTTTTGTCACAAATTTTATCCTCAGAGTCTGATGATAAAGGTCTCTTGGCTTCCCAATCTTTTAATATTTTTTCGACAACAGCGACATCTCTTTTTACAATTTCTACCTGACGTCCAATCCGTTGCATTTGGGCTTCTTTTTCATTGAGTAATCTTTCTAAGAATTCATGCAGCAATCTATTTTGTGCTAGAGCTGATTCAGCTTCTAGTTTACGTTTACGCCGTGTTAAAAGCTCTAACATAGCATCAACATCAGTAAGTGTTAGTTTCTTAGATTCTGCGGTGACAAAACTTCGAAGACCAGTTTTATTAGAATCCATTTTTTGGGGGGGAATTTGTAATTTAAAATGGGTAACTATTTTATTAAGCGCAAAGTTTGGAAATACATCTCGAATTCCTCCAGCAAGGTTACTGCCACACTTTGGACAAGATGTTTTAATTTCCAGAGACGTAGCAATACAACGGTAGCAAAAGGAATGTCCACATTTTGTAATATGTGCTTCTTCGACTGGTTCATAACAAATTGGGCAAGAATAATCAGTGGCAATTTTATTTGTCGATAATAGCTCATTTGTAATATTTGAAGCCAGATGTTGACGTTTTACTTGAGGTATACTGGACTTTAGTTCTTCGATTTTGTCTGACATGTTTTATACATACATGTGTATATATAATATATATAATTTTTTTTTATACTTTTAACACATTTTATCTCATTGAAAACTGAAAAATAAGAAATAATATGTTTTAGTATGACATAAATACATTTTTTGTAAATATAAAAATGCACTAAAAAAAAATTAAAAAATAGTACTTAAAAGTTGTACTGATTTTGAAGAGATAGTTTGTTTTAGATTATGTTTAAAAAAAAAAGACCAAAATTTAAATGAGCAATACACTTATTATGAACTTCGTGCGAATAATTTATAAGAAAACAATTTAGTTTTCTAAGTGTTACAGTATATTATTATTCGAGTATGATTCATACTTACTTTATGAATATTATAAAAAAAATGAAAGGCTAATTTTAGTTTTTATGTATGTTAATTAAATTTATTTTATTTTAGAAAACCAAAATAATAATTTTGTAAAAATTTTATATTAAACTATTTATTGTTACTAATTGTGAGTATAAGTTATTAATTTATAGTAATATAAAATTAGTATTATTTTATAAACCATTTAGTTAATAATGAGTAAACAATCGTTTTATAAATAAATGACACACCAACACAAATTATCTCTTACTATTTCAGTTAAAAAAAAACAAAATTAAATTAAACTAGAAAAAAAACTAAAAAATTTAGATGAAATCTTAAAAAAAATACCAATTGTAATGTATTTGTTATTAAAATAGAAAACGGAATTAATTAGGATAATGTATTGTAAAAAAAAGAAATTGTATTTACGCAAATAAATAAAAAGTTGTCAAAATTTGATTGTACATAAAACTATCATTGTAAAAAAAATAATTAAAAATACTAGATTGCCTTAAAACAATTTAAGTATTATGAATTAATATTTTAAAATTCTGAATTATTTTTATAAGAAAGGGAAGCAAATTATGGTATTATAATTATTGATATTTAATTTGTACATAGTGTATATTGAAGAAATTAATCTTAAAAATGGACGTACCTGATATAACAGATCATTTTTTTGAGACTAGTTAAAGTCCTCAAAGCTCATTTATGATGGCAAATATTACATAAGGAGACAGCAAAGAATAACGATATATATCAACTAAATAATTTAAATAAAACTGATAACAAATTTAAGACAGTATCAAATAAGTGAAAACTACAAAAGAAAATAATAATTGCAAATTCCTTAAAACCCACTAAAAATTATAATATTTGAATAAATAAATATTAAAAACTCACATTTTCAATGCTTTCATGATAACATTATTGCTATCTTGATTGACCTTTTCAGCAGAATTTGTAAGTTTGATATTTTCGCCCTTTTCATCGACGTAAGCACCAACAACGATACCTTTCTAAAAAAATGTAATTAGACAATTATCAAAAAATTAAGAATATTGCACTTATGTAAATATTATGGATTTTTAGCAAAACATTTATTTTTATTTTTGGTACTTGGCGTGGTTAAAAGAAAAACTCCAAAAAATAAAAATTTTAAGATGTAGTCTGTTAAGTATTTTGGCCTGATTAAAAATAAATATTTAGAATTACTCCATTTTTAATAATAATGAAACTACATTTTTCATATTTTTAGAACGATTTATAGTACCTACCTTTTTATAATCAATTCAAACCGCAAAATATCAGAAATATAATATTTTTTACTTACGATTTAGATCCTAATAAAATGATATACTACAAAATTTGTATTTTTACTATTTTTCTATCCGGCAACAGTAAAGCACTATGATAATTCTTTTTGAAGATTGAGTGGAACATGTTCAATTTAGTTTGAATTTAGAATACTTAAGTTTTTATGGGAAATTAAAAGGTTGAAAGCAATAAAAAGTTCAAATAAGGACTATTTTAATGTAGACTCTATGTACAAGGCTGTTTTTCTCAGAAAATATATTTCATTAATAAAATGTTTTGATTACATTATCGAAACATTGTCTATTACAAGTGCTAATCTTTATTGTTGCAGTTGAAATAAATTTTCACTAAGTGTGTTACGATTTTTATTATGTATAACTGTATGTACAATCCCGTATTGTTAAAAAAAGCGAGGTTATTGGTATGACTATTTTTTGGGAATGGATTCTAAATAGTATTAAATAAGCCTCTGTTGTTAATACAATTACATAGCTGGTTGATTACACATTTAACAGACAATGGTTCAATTCTAACAAAATATAATATGGGTCAGTAAAATGTATTATTTTCTTATCGGCAGCATAACTTCTATACACGAAGGTTTGATCTATGCTCCGTCTTACTTTCAAATTGCTGGTGGAACACTCGCTCCGACCGTGATTGATGGTAATTTTTTGGAGAGCACTTGTCAGGCGTGTCAAACAAATTGCAGATCGGTGTGTGTACATTGTGGTCAATGACGATTACCGCATATCCGAACGAAAGTCGGCGAGCGAGAAGTGCGTAATTGGCGTCGATGAGAAGTCGTGAAGTGTACAAAACAAAATTTTTATGAGGTATGAATTCAAAAAGCAACGCAAGTGCTATTATTGCAAGTATTATTATTTTTTCGAAATCGTATTTTACATAAAAGTCTTAGTCTCTCAAGTACACACGGACGCCAATGGAGATTGGAGTATTGACCGTCGACAACTTGTTATCACTTTTGGTGAACTAAATGATAACCGATAACGTCCACGGTACGGCGGACCTACCGTGAGTGTACCAGTACAACCATGAAAAGAACACAGGTATATTGGCCACAACCATGATAACCGTAAAATGGCTGCCAGTATTCTCGGGCGGCCGTGTGTTTCTTACGGGCAACTCTAGCAGCCATGTTGTGGAAATTGATAATACCTAATAGTATTGTCGTTTTACCTGTTTTTTTTTCATAAATACAACGGTAACTCCAGTATTTCTACCTCCAGTATTTGCGACATCTACCAGCTATCCGGATAACAATCGCCTTATGAACGACCGCCTAGAGTACACTACTAAGTATGCAAATTGAAATTCAATCTTACTTCTAACTTTTAAGCCATTTCCCATGGTGATCTATCCAATTTGTTTTAATATTTAATTTTCACCCATCCTTTCAACATTGTAAATATTAAAGCCATAGTAATCTATTCTCTTTCTCAAATTTTTTTGGGCTATTGCCACAACTTTCCAACTTGCTCTAATCTCTTATATTGTAGTATTGTACCTACTAATTTTTTCATATTCTGATTTCTGAATACTATCGTAGTCGCTCTATGGAGGATGTATCCATCCATTTCAACATTAACATTCCATCACTCTTTTTTAGTATAATTAACATTCACTTAATGGTACTACTTTGTTTTATAAAACCATCTCATCACGTAAACTGTACTTTTCTGTCACATACGTAATATCTTTGTGGTTTATTTCCTCAGCATTTCTATTATTTTACTTGACATCTTTTTTTTTTTTTTTATTAATGGTAAAGGCTCAATTACATGATTATTAGCCTAGAAGTTAATGTACAATAAATTTAGGAATTAGAATAACATGACATTTATAGTTTATGGCTTATATTTACTACATTGTGAAAAAAATTGATGATTTCAGTGGTGTTTTCTTCTTTGAATGCTTGGTGAAGTGCTTGGATTGTTGAGTTCCTTTCGTGCTTCTCTATATTTGGGGCAGTTGATGATTATGTGTTCTATCGATAATATTTGCTTGCAAGTGTCGCATACTGGTGCTGGTTCCTTGTTGATAAGGTATGCATGGGTTAGGTGAGAGTGGCCTATTTTAGCTCGGGTGATGTTTGTTTCATCTCTTCTTTTAATGTTAGCGGGGTACTTCAATTTTTTGACGCTTAGTTTTACATTTCTAAGTTTATTGGAAAGAGGAAGGTTTAGCCAAAAAATTTGCCATTTTTCCATTATTTTGTGGTAAATTATGTTAAAAGTTTCGGGTGAGATTAATGTCTGGATTTTTGTGGAGAGAGGGGGTGTGGTGGCTTCATATGCTGCCGTGTCTGCTTTATCATTTCCGGGTATTCCTATTTGAGATGGGACCCACATGAAACATGACATATATTTTGTTTACCATATTTTTATATTGTTATAAAATCGCTTTTTTTTTAAAAATGTGAACATTTTTTTATAACAATTGTGTGGGAACTTAAAATAAAAAGCTTTATTTAAATGTTTTTATTATTAATTACTAGTTCTATTAGAAAGTATGTTTTTAATTAGTTTGTATATTATATTTAGTAACCCGGTCTTTTTTACATTATTCATAATTTTCATGTTCTACCTGTCATTTTTGACATTTTCATGTCTTAGCTCTGGCACATAACCCTGGCAAATATCCGAAAAAAGCGTTACCATAAAAGCGTTACCAAAAGAGCATAACGAAGGACGGGAGATAGGGGTGGAATAGGGGGTAGGAGATAAGGGTGAGATTTAGCCGGTAAATAACCAAAAAAAAGTGTTACCCAAAAAGCGGTACGCTGTTACGCGCCGCAATGTAACAAAAACTACGAAGCGACGACGAAAGACAATTATCGGAATGACCATTTCGGATCTATTTCGAATGTTAATCTGTTACGCTGTTATCTGATTTGAGAAAAGAGATATGTTGTACGTTCAACGTTCAAATTAGAACTAAATAATAAATTCAAAACAGTTTAAGAGCCCAATTTCTCTATGAATTGTTTTAAGCCAGCAAAAAACACTACAATTTTAGCCAGAAACTTGACGTTTTATTATAATACTAGCTTGTTACCGCTCGTTAATTTACTATATAATTATCTATAATTCCACCACTACTCTAAATTTATTCGGTACTTCAACAAGACATGAAAATGATCTTTCGTGGTTGCAGACTCGGCTGAAAAACTGTTTTGCTAGCTATTGTCACAACCCCCAAACTTGTTCAGATATCTTATTTACAATGTTTTCTTTATTCTCACTGTGACTGACACTTTTAAACACACAGCCATCTCGACACTAACATACTATTCAATTATTTCATCACTCTTTATAAGTATCTAATACATGCGGATATAATTTTTTGAGCTCACCGTCAAACCTTACCTACTGTACTAAAATTAACTGTTTTATAATATACATCTAATTAGATTTGTCCCCGATAAACTTATTAATGTATACCTTTTTTTTAGCTTTCTGTATAATCATAATTCATAATCATAGAAATAAAAAATAATCGCTTTTTATACCGCATGACTGTTTAAAATTAAATTATTAGCTAACTTAATAAAAACAGTATTTTATAATTGAAGAGGTCAGTAGATAAAATCAGTAGTAATTTATAGTAAACGATGAAAACAATGTTGGCAAGGTATTTTTAATTTGTGGAAAGTAGCCCCTAAAGATATTTTGTCTTTTGGTCCAAAATTTCTAAATCAGGTCCTGGGTCCCTCGCTTCATTAACGTTTAGTGTAATCGAGACCGATAAACAAAAAAAATGTATTTTAACCCACAGTTTTAAGAACTCTCAATATTATTCAAAGAACATCAATTAGTTTTTTTTTTCAAAATTAAATTATCAAATTTTAAAAAGGGTAGATTACTGACATATGTCAATACATACGATAGTGGGTTACCCACTATCATGTACCCACTGTGGGTACATGTAATAACATTGGAATTTAAATGTGTTTTTAATTGTCACGGCTACCTTTGAGGCCTACAATCTGCTTTTTATATACTACTTGTAGTCAACTAACTTTCCGGATATAATAATCTTTCAGGTATTTTTTCCATTTACTCTACTGCATCTCACGTTCACAAATATATAGCAAATTATATCATGTAAATTTTAACACGTTGACCGCCATGAGCTCAAAGTGAGATCTCACAAAATTTTGTCCTCACAGCCAACAGTTTTTTTCTCAGTTTACTCAAAACATTTTTGAAAATTCTTTTTCCCAGATTTTTTTTTAAATTTTGTAATTATTTTTAAAAAGTGGTTTCTAATAAATGTTTTATTGTTTCAAGTTAATTATAACTGAGATTTCGCATTAGATCTCATGGCCGTATGATGTCATTCTCTGTAAAATTATTAACACGTTGACCGCTATGAGATCTAATATGAGATATCACAAAACTTTGTCCTGGCCGCCAAGGGGTTTTTTTCGAAGTTTACTCAAAAAATTTTTGAACATTTTTTTTCTCAGATTTTATTCAAAATTTGTAAACATTAATAAAAAGTTGTTTCTAATACGTTTTTTATAGTTTCAAGTCAATTAGAGCTGAGATTTCGAATTCGGTCTTGTGGCCGTAGGATGTAACTCACTGAAAAATTATTAATATTACCCTTACCGCGAGATCTTCAAATAAATATCATACCAATTATTACCATTTTATGAGATCTCAGATTAAATATCAAAACATTTTTATTTAAAAAACTAACCTCTTTATCATTGTAGTAAAACATATATTATACTAAAAAAGTCTTTATTTTCTTCTTGAAATTTGAAAAACATAAACTATTTAAATACTATAGTAGTCGGTATATAACAATATAATGGTTATATAATAAAAACTGATCTCCCCAGTTGGGGTCATCATCTGTATCATCGTACGATGAGTAATCAAAGGATGAATTTAACATGTCATTAATACGGTCAGTGTCCATTATTAATTATTAAAAACTTAATATTATAATAATAATATTAAATAATATATTATATTATGTTGAAACACAGTACGTTTAAAAATATATGCACATGGTATCAATGATAAGATTATCATAGAATACATACATTTCAAAAAATCATAGAAAAAAAACTGATAACGCTAGACGCTTGCTAAAAAGACCCAATGAAAGTGGCAACACTGTACTTTTCAAATAAAATGTTAAAATACTGATAATTGAAACCAGAAACGAAATATCACCAATTGATAATAATTGGGAATGAGATCTCTTAATAAATCTCACGACATATTTTTGGGAAAAAGTTGAGATTTCGAATTATATCTCATGGCCGTTACAAGTAACACAGTGAAAAACTCCGTGGCGGTCAACGTGTTAACTATACTATTACTAATACTATTACCGTGAGATCTTCAAATAAATATCATACCAATGATTACCATTATATGAGATCTTAGATTTAATCTCGACAAATTATTTATTTTAAAATAAAAACTGCAATTCTGAAATCTCATCAGTCATCAATCGAAAATAACTGTGAATGAGATCTCTAATTAAATCTCACAACCAATTTTTTGAAAAAAAAATTTTAGATTTAGAATTACATCTCATGGCTATTACAAGTAACAAAGTAAAAAAAAAACCGTGGCGGTCAACGTATTAAAAAGGTTTTATAAAGTATTAAAATTTCAAAACACAACAAAAGCAAAACATATTATTGTGTTATATGTTTATATTTTCTTAAAACAATTTGCATTTAGCTTAGTACTAATTACTGAATACACTAGCCGATTTTATTTTAATTAATAATAGACGTTTGCATAACAATGAAAAATAAACACTTAAAACGCAATCGTAATAAAACAATAATAATTTTTTTTATCAAATAATATAAATCAAGCTATGACGTTTGTTATAAATAATAAAATAGTGACTAAAGATACAAATAATTTGGTTTCATTAAATTGTTAAAATTATAATATGTAAGAGAACATGCAACAAGATGAACCACGCGATATCCAATTTCAGATAAAGCGTATTACTCAATAAATTATTTGCATTTTAAAGTTTTGTTTAAAAAAGAAAATGTTTGTCTAAATATAACGGTTTTGGTTAATATCATATATGACCATAGGAACAGTATTAAAGACTAGTAAATCATTTTTTTGGATTGAATATGGGTAATATTATGAAAAAACTGTATTAATATGGTTATAGCTATTAATTTCTATCAATTTGTGTATTTTTGCTTTGCTGTTAACGATGTATCATCACTATAATTCATCATTGATAATGTTAAAATATGTAACAACAATAAAAAAAAAATTTTGTAGAGAAAATTAGAGTAAAACGAATAGTTTTGTTTTATTATGCTACCCCGTGATTCATCTTATATCATGTTAACTGATAATTATTTAAGTATAATAATACAAATTATGAACATCGAAAAATGTGTCAATTAATAATATAACGCTTAAATTGATGGTGATGTAATAATTTTGATTTGCAATAACTCTTCTTACAAACATGGCTTATTTACAATACATAGTTTTATTTGGTATACCTAAATGTAAGATTAAGTGTATATACAACATGTTTGGTAAAACAATATACGAGTGAAGTATAGACATTTTCCTGAACTTTAATTAGTATTATAACATTTTTAAACATACCATTTTTTTTTTTTAATAGATAACCTTAAATTAAATCCGGTGGCAATAAAATCATTTATTATTTATTTACAATTTATTGTTTAGAAATTTTGTGATTTTAACATGGCCACTATTCTTGTGTTTTGGGGAAAACTTTCCTTTTTGTGTTTCAAGTGCTCACAAAAAATGTACCTATTTAAAATGTCTTAAATAATTAGTTTTTGATTTAACAACAACTAATGTTTTATAAATGATTAACGTTTAAACATTATTTTTTTTAATTACTTAAGTTTCTATAGATATTGCTCATAATATATTTTGTGTTCTTTATTATTTATATATTTTCCTGAATTTTTTATGCACACCGCACATAATATTAGTCTTAGCACTAAAATGGAATTGTTTAATGAAATAAAATAAAGCGCACTTGACTTGTTCCAATACTCTTTAATAGTCAATAATAATATTAACATTGTCTACGGGTAATGCTAAATGTCTGATAGGTAAAACCACTACTAAAAACGTTTCAACTCAGTACAGGTAATTTAAACAAACATCATACACATTACACATTACCTGTCTTAGGATCTTACAATTATTATTTTATTAATAAACATAACATTTTTTAAATAAAACTTATTTTATATTATATATAGTTATTTTTTTATGTATACTAATATACATTATATAATTTTGCACGTGGAGGTCAAAAAACAAAAGCATTGCGGTAAGTTAACCTCAGGAAACGCGATTGGTAGGTTATACAATTTTTAGTGAAGCGCTTAAAAATGTTATATAATATATTATCCAACAAACATTTGTTTATAAGATACATTTTCTTTTCACACAATATACGCATAATTTTACAACAAGTAGTCAACTTTAACTAGTTATACTTTAAAAGTATATAGTTTAGTAGGCATCATAAGGATGAGTTGCGTTTACATTCGATAGTGATCTATAAATAGTTTATTTTAATCTAATAACCATTATAGATACAAAATAATTTTACGTGTCTAATAAAGTTAGTTATAAATATGTAGCATTTAAATAGGTTTGTAGTAACATTCAACACAATGTTATAATATAATATCATAATGGTTTAACAAAGCTATAATAGTACAATAATATCGGAGGTAACACGCGCCAAACAATACGATAATTTTTTTGATTTTAAGTAATACAATTATTGTTGAATTTTGATTATTTTAAATATTATTATTGTTATTAATAACAACGATCATATTCGTACCATACAAAATCCTAATAAATAAAAAAAAACCATTTCGGTACTGATATTAAACAAAACCTTCCACAGGGCTCATAGTATTATAGATCATACAACAATTCTAAAGACCACATTAACAGTAGGTATATTTTATTTTTTACATATTTACAACCAATAAATTCATACAATATAATTTATAAAGATGAACATACCCGGTCAAGAAATAGTTTCACACTTATAAGCGGTACATCATAACATTTTAAACAATAGTCATGAACCATGATTATCAAATTGATGATATTTGAGCGCCGAACGACAAAAAGCCATGTTCCGCTTTTATCACACGATATCACATTTATTAGTAAAAATAACACGGTTCGGGTTGCATGTTAATTTACGACGATGGTATACAAGAAAAGAGTATGTAAGCACAACATTTAGACCGAGATGGCTTGTTATTGTTAATTTAACCATTAATAATTGACCGTATTGCCAACTTTAAGCCATTTAAGCCCTGTCAACTTATTGTTCTTTATTATTCTTCTTATTATTCTTTTTTGACTTTTTACGTTCAAAATCCAATATTACCATTCAAAATCGAACTTATTAATTGGGCGATTTCCAATTAGGCAAAGTAAATCTGCTAAAAATAAATCTGAACATTACATTTCAATGTTAATATAGTAGAACACCGCCGTGATTACATACACATACGTTATTTACCTAATTTTTCGAAAGCATGATATTTGTTGTGTAAAATTGTTTTGGACATGATTGGAACGTTGAAAAAACTAGGTGACAGATCAAAACAATAATTAAATATCTTGCGGTAAAAAAAAAAATAAGAAGACGGTCCATGTTGAAATCATCCCAGGTTTGGTCTTTTTAAAGCATGACCAAATCGTCTTCCGGGATAGATTCAAATTCCGTTTGTCAGAATCGCGTGGCTGCCACTATCTGCGACTGAGGCGATGGATTCCCAAAAACTTGTCTACCTGTAGCTTCTCTCTGTTCCATCATGCATTCGCTCTGTATAATATAGAAATATTAAATTGTAATAGAGATCATCGGATTATTGTCTTATAATTGTATGCTGACGAATTAAATATCTAGAACATCTAGCAACCATGCACATGCGTCTCATGTATGTATCATTCAAGTATCAAAATAATACTATCACGAATAAAATACGATTGTTTTAATGCTACTCAGTGTATTATACAATGTACTGTGTACATTTTACACCTAGAATTACAAGTTCATAACATCTTTTTGTAAATTGTGACCATTTAATAAATTAGGTAATCTCACGCCTATGTGTATGAAACGAAAAATGACAAAATACATGCAAAAAACTATAGAACTAACTTATAGTTTTTACTATAATAGTCTTTTATTGATTATGTGTAATTTTCTTAAGTAATTTCTCAACAGGTTCAATAGTTTATCAAAGCGATTGTTAATACAATTTTAATTTATAGACATTTTACTACAGAAATTTTATATAACAATTTAGAATTGTTTTGTTACTCTTCACTATATTTATTTATTTTCATGTTAAATACTTTTAACATGAATAGAGACATTATTATTGCAAGCCATCACGTTGTTGGCATTCATTACTCTAGCATTTTTGAGACTTCACCGTAATTCTATTAATTGTTTAAAAATCCCCCCCCCCCAAAAAAAAAATACAAATGTCTGAAATACCTGTAGATGCGACTTGATGAAGACGGTGAACAAAATAAATATACAATTTGAAAGTATAAAAAAAAGGCCATGGCCATGTATTTATTTAAGAGTAATTCATAGTGAGAAAATTGACAACGGTCATCTCTATTTATTTTGTCATGTTAAATATAATAATGTAGAAATACTTTATTGTTAGGGTGGTTTGTGTTGTGTATAAATCTAGAACTTACGCAGAATGATTAATTTTAAAACAAAACTACTTAGTTGGATAGTAAACGTAAAATTAGAATAAATGTTTCGAAAAATAGTACAATACCAAATGGGATTATTATATGAAGAGTTTATTCCGCTGGTATCCGAAAAGGTCTAAGTGAGTTTCTTACGTCTAAATATTTAATTAGAACATTTTTTATTAAATACCCTGCAACGCATTTACCTTCGGACTTTGTAAACGTTTTTTGCTAAATAATTAAAAAAAAGTTTCCAACTATTAGAATGTCTGAATTAATTTGAAGGAAACTACTCTATATATACAGGAGTAGATGCCCGTTTCTTCAAAAACAACTACTGCGAGTATTAGAATTTACCATTATTTAATATATTTTATAATAATTTTTTTTTTAACCTATACATAGGAACTGCTAAATAATAGAGTAAAATAAAATCATAAAAATAATATAGTAATATTGTACATGCAGTGATAAAATTACAATAATAAAAAAATAAAATACAAGCAATCTAGATATATAATTACAACGCTGTTTATGTTCTAGAAAAAAACAAATAATGAAATAAATATATTTTGACAATAAGAATATAAGTGGTTCTTAGAAAACTGTAACGTTAGACTAGGGTAATAATTCTAAAAATATAATAATAACACAACGGTCATGCATACAGTAATTCATGCTGTGACTTTGGGAAAGTTGACGCTTAAATATAACAATATCATTTCTGATGTATGAAACGTACCGTTTTTATTGAGGGGCTATTATTGGTAACGGTCTTTTTTTAAGGGGTTGTGCTTACTGCTTAGGCAATATTTTAATCAAGTGCGACGAGCGTTGAGAATTTAAAAAATTAACAACAGTGTACTTGTGCAAGTGTCAACGATATTATAATTTTATTTTTAAATAGACCGGTATTTGTTTCAACGTACCGATCGATTTAATACTAATTTCAAGAATCTGAAAACGGATTTTAACTTCTTAAAGTATATCTTCTAAGTAATTTTGTCACTTTTTTCATTTGTTTTTTGACTTTCAATGTAATTCTTTGTTAAATTTTATCGTTTTTTTTTAATGAATGCCAACTAATTTGAAGTTCAAAATAATTACAAAAATTAGGATAGTATTTTCTTAGCAGATATGCTGAGCAAATGAAATCAGGTTTTATATCATTATAACGATCGGAGTAGGTACCATTATATTCATATCGTTAGACCGGTTGGTAGGTACGTTGGAAGAAAAACAAATTTATTGATGGCAATCAATACTTGTTCAATTTTCTGAAGTTCGTAGGCTTTTCGTATCTAACGTATGGGTTTTTAAACGGCTCAACTTAAATTCAATTATTTTCATTATAATATAGACTGACAAGCGCACGCTTTTATAGTTATATTTATTTGGTTTAAGTACATGTTGTAAGAATGTAGGTACTAAACCGAAGTGGGCTTTAATATGCTTAAAATAATTTTCGGAGAACATGACAGGTTTCCTAAGTAGTGTTTATATTTATTCGAAATAGAGTATCTATTCACTCAGATATTTTCGTATCCTCCTATGATAAATCCCTTACTATGTTGATGTATTTCTAAACTTTTAGAAAAATAGACGATCGAGCTTCTTATTCCAATTACGGTTATTTAGAATAATCGCAATGCCAAATTCAAACCAATAGGAAACTATAAATATATATTTTTATTAAGTAAAACTATTAGGTACGTTTCTAAACGTCAACTCTTCCATAAAGGTGTCATGTCTAAACTAGGTTTAATTTTCAAACACATTCGGTGAGAGCAAATACATGAAGCTGTACAAAAAAAGTAAAACACAAAGCATGTTGTAATAAAATTGATAAGGTATATATAATATATAAATATATAAATATTTGTAATCAATGGCAGCGTTAGTATTGGTTTTATAACGTACAACAAACCCATTTTATTGTAAAATTGGCAGTAGATAAACGTACAAATACCTCGCGGTAATTTAAATGAATTCTAGTAGCTACGTTTTTTTTTGAAAATGTTTTAAATAGGCTGTACATCATAAATCTAATGGTAATAACGGTAATAGGTATAATATACTAATATTATGTAATAACGGAGCGGGAAAATCATGCTCGTTTTGTGTATACGTTTCGTCGCTATACCGTGCTTTCGCGCTGGTGTGACGCGGGCGGTGTCAACAACAACGGTATCTCCACGGACCGGTCGTGGAATTGACGGTTGCCCATGGCGTTGGGCCCGGGACCGCGCATCTGTGTGTGATACGGCTGCTGCTGCTGGTGGTGGAGAAGGACATGATGAGGGTGCAGCTGCTGTTGGTGGTGGTTGAGCAGTACCCTGGACTGTTCGACGGGCACGTACTGTACCACGCCGTGGGGGTCGTTGGCATGCCGCAATATGGACACGGGCTGCTGTTGCGGCACCGAACACATAAGGGTCGGGTACATGGCAGCGGCGATGGGCTGCTGCGGTTGAAGCTGTGGCGACTGCATTGGACCGCCGGCCATGTCTCCGTACTGGAACTGTTGTGGTAATGGTTGCAACTGTTGCTGCTGCTGTTGTTGTTGTTGTTGTTGCGGCTGTGGAATTCCCCGAGTCTAAGAAAAAAGTATATTTCATTACCACTATTAATTATACGTTGTCATACTTTGACTGAAGATTTAAAAAACAGTATAATATATGGCTGCTAGTCAAGATACGTGTAGCGATCGAAAGGATAAAACCGCGGACAGTTAGAAATGTGAGACGTCGACGACAAAGATCTAAACGTGTTAGAAGTAATAAACGGAGAAAAAGCAGTAAATTATTACTGATTACGGTCGACGGTCTCCATATCATATTTTCTATAGTTGTCTGTTTGCTGCTCAGTAATTATTTTTGTTGGTTTGTCGTTATACGTTTTTTTTGTTACATTTTGTTTGTCAGTATTGAGTGTTCTATTATGTAATAAAAATTGTATTATATAATATATTGTTTGGAAGCAAGCCGGGCAATATTAGCCAATACGTTCAAAGTTTTGATGTCGTGTGAGTTGTTACTTTCCTGTTGCTGCCCTTGTTGAAACCACCTACGTTGTCCGTGGTTTTGTTATGTGTGCGGTTACCCACTTCGTGAATAATTTTGTATTGTTCAAGTGTTTTAGATATTGAACGCATAATTTGCCATTTTAGATCCTCTTTGAACGCCCAAAATTGAGTTGCCAAATGATTTTGATTTTATTTATTTATTAGTATATTATTGGTCGTGTGACCGTTTTATATTTAATTTTTTGTTGGTTTTTGGCTAAGTATTAATTATTATTATCTCTTAAGAAGCAACGGCACCTTCCTCATTTTCAACAACTTATAAGAGAACAAAAAAAAGCAGTTTCAATTACCTTTCATAAACATTACTACCATGTAATCAATTTTCCGATTATTAATTTTTACAAAACTCTTTATAACTATTTAAATTCTCTGGGAGTTTTTTTAAAGAAAATATAAGTACGTATTATTTTTTAATGTTTAGTTGTGTCACTCATTTTTGCCAAAAAGTCACTTTGCCATTCTTGATCTAAGACAATTGATATATAAAAAGCCGAAAACGTTTTCAAATTTACATCTTTCAAGGTTTTAATCTAATATAACCTGGCCATGATGGTCATAAGAAGTTTGTTTTCGCTATAGTGTTTTAAAACTTATAGATTTTTCAAGTCTTTAAATATAAAGTTATACATGTACAACATTTTACCTGTTGTTTACACGGATCCTGTTCAGCGTTACAAGACGAATACAACCGATTTTGATTGCTGTTGAGTCTTTCAAATGCCTTCTCTTCTTCATCCAAATATTCTGTGGACAAAACAAATTTTAATCTAATTATAAAAAACACTGTAAGGGTTTTAAAATATATTGAATGCTTCATAGGTCTAAAAGAAATCACTATATTTTATATAGAACGTAATAATATTTGAATGATTTTTTAAAACTATTTTATATATTTATTAATTAGATACCATTGTCATGGGGTATGATGTCCGGGTTTTTGTCCAAACCATCGTCTGAAGTTTCTGATCGATGGTCACTCACGCTACCTATGGCGGTTTTTGATTCGTCAGCAGATCTTTCACGTTCTTGACGACGTGTCTGGCATCGTTTACGTTGACAAGCAATGATTGCACCGATAACACAAGCAATCGTCAACACTAACGCTATACTTCCAACGACAATGACGGCCAACATGGGAGTGAATTTAGTAGCAGGCGAAATAGCTAAACACAAAAATCCAATTGATTAAGTAAGTTTAGCGTAGTACACTTGAAAAGAGCACTTTACAAATGAAGAAAAGTGGATCACAGTAATTTGTCAAACAAATACGCTAAAGCGCGAGAAAAAAGAAATTGCAAAGTTTATTTAATTTCGAATAATCTGACTTACAATATTGGCCACAAAAAAAAAAAAAAGAAAGAAATAGGGATGTTTTGGACACGATTACTTGGCCAATAATATTGGTTGCTCAACTTGTAATAACTATAGGGGGCATGAGCCACCACGCTTGTCATCCTAGAAACGACAAGCTTTACATTAGCCCACTAATAAATTATCTTACAAAAAAATCTTACTGAGGTTTTAGTTTTTTTAAAAACAGATATTTAATTGTTCCTGATATAAGGTTATTTCTTGGGTTTCTCTTTGGCTTTCTGTTCATATTTTATAATATAAATTAGCTAAAATATAATGACATACCGGTGCGTTTCTCGGCTGATTTTAGCGTGTGCGAGTGCAGTTGAACCGGATCTGACGCACCTCGAACATTGTAAGCATACAGACTAACGTCGAACCCTATTCCGGACTTGAGGCCTCCCACGGTAAATTTGGGTTCATCCGCCGTCACGTTGCCGGCCAAAGTCTGTGCGTGTCGGTCGTATACTTCCATCACGAAACGCTGTGATAGTCCGCCGTCGAAGCCAGGCTGACATCGCACGGTCAGCGTAGTGGCCGTTTGATTTTGTACCGTACAGTTTTCCACACTATCGGGTCGTCCTGAATTAACACGCAAAATGCAAATTATAGTATAATACTTGCAATCGCGGCCGCCACTTAATGTATTAACAAGTTAGTTATGTGACTTTTTTCTTGCGTACGATAAATAATAAAATTGTAAAAAGTAAGACCGGTGTAAAATGTATTATCCACACTTGCACACTAGCCGTCGTTATACCATTCTTGATTAAATACTTTTAGGTTACTTGAACCCTATTTTTAAGTACCAACAAATTTCCAACAGCCACCAACCATGTAATATTTAACCTACTACGTTTCAACTTTAAGACGTAGGAAAAGGATATTTCTATTTTTGTTTTTTTATATCATCTTTTTATAATTATATGTTAAATAACCATCGAAATAAATGTTGGTGTGCATCAGTATATTGTATAGAGATGAACTTCCTAGCCGTCTTTAAATTGGTCTAGAATATTACTGTAAGTAACGGTGTTTGATTCAGCATGAACAATTTCTTTGAATTGAAAAAGCATTCGAAATGGTTTAGCTTTGAGGCAAAACTCGAAAACAAGACTTTAGTTATTTTTCGATAGTTTGTTTAACTTGCTCAACCGTATCCGTAGACGGAACAAATATCTTTTTGACTATACGCGTCCAATAAGTGCGCTTTTGTGGTCGGAGAAATGCCTGCTACCCTCTTCTTTATGCTGGTAAGTTTTGTCAGGAGAAATCGTCTACTCTAATGTTTGGCGACGACAGTATTTTGTCAAAGTTTAACGCCAAGTAGAGCGGCTGCACAAAAGGCTTGTTTTGGTTTTGTTTGGTCGGATGTCAGAAATCGGATACCGGAAACACCATATTATAATAATAATAATAATAATAATAATATTATGTTAGGACTATTATTGTTATTTTTGAAATTTCTCTGCGTTTATATATATAGCGTCGAAATAATATGATCTTGTATACGGATTCATTCATGTTTTTATAGCAGTAATGAGTTGAAAACAAGGGCATACGTTGTTTGATTATCTTAAGGAAGCGGCGAGGGGGAAAGGGGTAACCTATTGGATGTCATATTTAGACTGTGTTTATAACAGTGACGTAAACAGAGATATTTAGAGTCTAAATATTCTTATTTTTATTTTTTATTGATATCAAGGAAATGCTTTAGTTTTTCTCCTTCAGAACCATTTTGATATTTTGCGCATTTGACTTCGCTAATTACTTTAGAGATCAATATATTAACTATATTTTATCATTCAGGCTATCAAATGTTAAATAAGAACTATTGTGCTATAGCAAATAACTGCAAATATATGCTTTTTCATTAACTCTTAAATTGTTGTTTTTTTTAACCAATTTAAAAGAAACCCACATATTATAGTACATTTAGCCCTAAAGTAAAATAATGCTTTTTCTGTTAGTGAAATCAGATTTGTTCTGACGTAAATAGTTTTAGAGTTAATATTTATTGCATTTTGATAAAGGTAGGTATGATTAAAGGAGTAATTTCTCAACAGCTATTGAGAATTGAACCCAATTTCTATGCTACATTTTTGGTTGCTAATGATCCTAAAAAAATTTCAACATTTGTATGTTTGACAGTCTTTATTCTAAGTATTATAATTTAATTTAGTACAAAAAAAAAATAGCTATGGAGAGAATGACTTCTTCTCCGCAGTCTAAACACTGAAAACTATAATGACTTAATGACTTTGATTGAAAGTATTCATTCATATTACGGTTGTAATTATTTCTGTACACTGCCCGTCGGTGGTGTTCTATTATGAAAATCCCTCCACCCCTTTTTTTATTACAGTATACTCGCCCACTGTAGACTGCACTTAGACCTGCCACAGTCGCACTGCCACTTCTCAACAGTATTCGGTGCCATTTATTTTCGTTTCCGACGACCGTATACATTATTATTGTACTCAGCTGCCGTCCCTTTTTTCAATTTTGTTTTTCCAGCCATTATTTCAATTGAAATTTATCGCGTTCCTATGTTACGGAAGTTCAGTGCACGTATGTGCAATTGTAGACCGGCAACTTTGAAATATCGATTTTTTTTTCTCTTTTATTTTTATTAAGGGTGTACACGAGAGAGTACTAATAGTAAGTTGTTCTATAAACACCGGATTACAACAATACGTTAACAAAAACCTACGTAGACCGTTGTATTAAGACAAATTGAAGTAGGTCGCAAACCCATCGCGTTCTAGATATTTTTTCGCATTTATATTTGATATTTTCCCCTTAAACAGGAAAAGTGAAACCGATAAATTTTGACATAAAAAAGTCTTACGGCTGTCGAAAATTTGTCATTAGCAAACCTGAACAGGGATTGTTCAGTTCTTTCTTGGATTTTCGGATAATAGACGTCTGAGTCTACGTAGAGTAAGAAAATTTCAAAAAAAATTAAACAAGTGCGTTGTGTATAATGTAGGGCGATTTATTGACGGCCCAATAATAAATAACATAATGTTTGATGAGTTCGGAACAACACAGTCGGCCGTGAATACCACCTCACCTCAACGGTACTAACTGATAACATGACAACTGAAGAGCTATACGGTTCGATAAATGATATTAGAGAAATCATCATATACATAGAAGAAAATATAGCCTATTTCGTCAATTTCAAGGGGATACATTAATTTATTGACATGATATTCTCAGAAGAGTTTACTAGATTGCAGAAATTGGAAACATTTTACAAACAAAAGTTTAATGTAACATAATCACTATACATATTTACTTTAAATTTGTTAAGTGATTAATTTTAATTTACAAATCAATACATTTTTTTTAAAAAAAGCACAACAATTTTTCTAGTTTTTATAAAATGTTTTTACTTCAATCTAAAAATGTTCAAAAACTTAAACTCGAAACCTTATGGTTTATGTATGAGTTCAGGGAAATGTATTATGAGGGTCTTGAAATGGAATTTGTTCTTTTACATTCAGTTTGGGGATCTTTTCGCTTCACAGTTGTCATTGGCTCGGTGTTCATTTGGTTGGTAATGTGCTCAATGTTAGAGGCCGACGGTAATCTACTGTAATTTTTGTGAAAATGTTTGCATGTTACATTTCGTGTAAAGCATGAATTTTTTTACCACGATAAACTTCCAACCTAAGAAATTATTGTTACCCGTTATTGTTATTGTTATACTTATATGATAGTTTAAATTTATAGTTAAGTCGTTTACAGAGTACAACATGTATGCCTAAGGTAAAAAAAGAAAGCAAATGAAAAATTTGTATTAACCATTTTTCAAAACGCACACATAAGCCCTTTTGTAGTCACTTTTACTGAGTCGTAGAGATACATCCATGGTTATATTTCAACGTATGTTTTTTTACTAATATTGAATCTCCAACAATATCAAACAAATATTTTAGCATTATGCCATTATTTAGGATAACCAAAATATGACTAAACGAATCTAACTGGGAAATTTGATTGAATAAAATGGAATATTGTTTATTGGTAAACCGTAAAATAATTATTATAGAATTAGCAAAGGAGAGATTATTGTTGAGTGCTATTATATTACATTATCATTAGTTAAATATTATTTAAAAAAGCTGTGTTTTATCTATTAGCTATTTAACTACTTTCCAACTAATTATTTTAAACGTAAAATGAAAGTTGAAAAAAAAAGATTGATCTGCTAAACGAGTATTTCACTCGTTTATTCTCTTCTATCGTTTTCTATAAATTTTACATTTTATATATTTCTGTTAAAATTTAAAATTTTGCATAACATTTTAGACTGATACTTTTTGCCATACTAAATATCTAAATATTGCAGTTATAAAGCATAGTGTATTGTATACACAGGTGTTGGACAAGGTACATTTTTAGAAGTACGCACAATGTTCGTGAAATTATAAGAAAAATCATAAGCACTACGGTTCTTTAAATGTATCATTCAAACGGCGTTTGTATTAACGGTTGTTGATATCAATGAAACTATACATCTAAAAGTCCCAAAACATTGTGTTTTGCTATGAGTTTAACGACACTAATTGTCATGACTTGCTTCGTCTCGTGTACGATTGGTTTTGATAGTAAAATTAAAGAGATGGACTACTATCTTAAAAAAGTACAACAAACGACCGGCCTCGATTTTGGACACGGAAATATTCGTAGAATATACGACTTTTATTGGTTTTTCTAAACGTTATTATGAAGATCCTAGTTTAAAATTTACATATTTAATGTAAACTGTATATAAGCACACATTTTAATGTTATTTAAGTGCTAAGTCGCAAAGCCTCAACCTTGATTATTAACTATATATTTGGATCGAAACACGCCAAATTTTTTACAAATAATGACCAAAACGCAAAGTAACTTTTGAAGTGCCTACCAAACGGAACATTCTTTTGTTATCAAGTTTAACGTCTTCTCTATGCGGGCCAAAAAGCCATTTTTTAATTTTTTGTTTTATAAATGTTTATATTTTTTACTTCATTATCATTTTTTTAAATAAATATTCCTAATTTTTTAATAGACCAATCAAAGTCGGTCCTTCATCCTTCATAGAGAAAATAGTTAGAGAAACGCCAAAAAATTATTTCTACGAAAGTCATTTTTACTATTTATTATTATACTACGATTATTTCTTAAGATAAGTATTTTGTCTTACCTTGACAAACTTGACCTCTCTACCCAAATTTTATTTCTAGATCCACGCCTGCCCCAACAACAACAAACTATTTTTAAGAACTTTATTTTTATTAGGTACAATGATTTTTACCAATATCTGTATTTTTACCATTAGGTACAGTCCCGCATCAAAGCGTTTATTTAATAGTGATGTTAAATCTTTAAATAATATTTTTTAAATCAAAGGTTGATAATATCCTCGCACTAAACATACTATTTTATAATTTGGGCACAAAGTTATTTAAATATATTTTCCCAACTGCCTTTTTGAACATTCAATAGATCGAAAGCCAAGTAACTTAAAATTACGATGCTCTATAACTATTTTAAAAATAGTCGAAAATGTTCCAAATTTATATGAA